CTAAACGCTTCCTTGGCTTGTATTTTCGTCATAATTATTCTCTATGCTTAGTCCATTCACCATTTCGAAGATTATGTATCTGTTAACGCAATAAGCATTCAATTTAAGTGACAAACTGGTCGTGTTGTGTACACAGTATTTAGAGCAAGTGAACGATGCAAGGTCGCTGTGCCTTTTACTTCTACTTGACGTCAGGTGGATATTGGATAGATTTTATCTAAAAAATTAAATATATTTATTGTTTAGATAGTTATTGGTGATAGCTACAATTAGGTGCTTTACACTATTAGATTCCTTTCGAAATTATATAACAAACTAACTTCCTTATACTTATTATCTTTAAAATATCATTTTATTTTAAACGCTAGATAAAAAATCTATTTAAATAAAAAAAAAAACGATTATATTAGCCACACTCGAACACACGACCATGTCAATACGGCAGCTCGGTTAGTATGAGCAACAGCACGGAATCAATTGTTCAATTCCCGCCAATGTCATCGATTTTTATTTAAATAGAAAAAAAAAATAGAATCAATTGTAGATTTTTTTTAAATATGCCACGGGCGGGACTCGAACCAGCATTCACAGCGTTCGTTGTTGCTCTACCTATTGACAACTCTCTACCAATTAAACTGTCGTTGTTAAATAAAATGATTAAAAATCAAGTATGTCACCTACCTTGGATAGGTGTCTATCTCTGGAGCACATTTTAAGACAAAAAATACAGTAATAGGGAGTAGTAAAAACAACTTTTCTATTTTTTTTGTATCCATATAATTGCTTTAGTATTAAACTACATAGTATGTACATCCAAACGACAAATAACATATTAATATCATACGGTATTTAAAACAAAAACAAAAATATCAGATTAATTTACGATATCATGTCAACCTTTAAAGCTCCATTCTACAACGTTGTGTTATGTCAGATGTTGACAACAATTCGTAGATGTTTGTCGCTAAAGTATTGTGTAAGCAAAAGCTAATAAGTATAATTTAAATATATGCCCCTTTTATTAATTACAATTAAAACAATACTTAATATTAAATTAACAATTAAATATATTTCTTTCTATACATAATTATTATCGTATTATGGATCAATTATGAATTACATAACAATAGAATTTACGTTAAATTTTACAAAATGGATACAAAATTGCCAAAAATTATATCAATATCGGAGTATCCTTCTTCGCCACAGATGTCAATAGAACCTGTGAAGTGAAGAAAGTGCTTTTGAGCAGGGTTAAAAAAGTCAGACACCATTAGTTGTAGCTAAAAAGTTACAAGTTAAAGTATATAACCAGCCAAGTAGATATATAAAAAACAATAGATCAATTTGAACCGAAGATTACTTACCTCTGGTCTATCAGCCAGGAAGCGTTGCAAAGGACACAGCGAACCGGTCCAGGCGTTACATAAACCTTTATTAGTCTGATTGGCCAATTTCTCAGTATTTTATTGCTTATATATTTTGCGTTTTACGAGCTTAAAAGCATTATAATTATTTTATGATAACCACGACGATATCTATTAGGATTAGATTGACATTAGTACATTTTACCACATTACCTATTATATCTTATAACATTGAGAATCATTATTTGAATTTCAATGGATTGGAGAAGGTAGGAAAATCTGAAGACTGTCTGTAGTTTACGCTAGTAGTACACATTTAACGGTTTAAAACGCGATATATATCATTTAAACATATTAAAATTATTTTTAACGCGGCTCGACGTTTCGGATGCTTTGCAGCAGCCATCTCCCCGTGACCATGGCTCGAATTTGAATTCAGGAACTATCGAGCTTGATGCAATATCGAAACATAGAGCCGAGGAAGTGGTCAGCAACGGAATTACCAATATATAATTAAAAAACAACCTAACAAAACAAAATGTTCAAGGTTATTCAATTCAAAAACCCCTAAGTGCGAATCGTTAATCTTCACTAGTCATTAGCGATGTAAATGATATTTAATTAGTTCGTCTAAGATGTAGAGAACTAACAAGCTTACCTTGACCATAAGATACGTATGAATGAATCGTTGTGTAAATGACTTTATATTTGTGTTGGATTATAACTGCCTAATTTAAATCTAAGAAACCGTTCAAGCCTTACGTCAGACCATATATTATGATCATTTACTCCACCCCCCTCTCTCCTGGTCCTACGACGAAGCCTCTACGACATTTGAATAGTCAAGCAATATACTAAATTCTTGGAAACAAATACATAATGATATTTACTTTGATTGTTACAAACAATATGACATCTCAATTTACTATTTTTCTATATTTCATTCGTTCTCTAAGAAATACATTTTTTGATAACCATAAGCCACACTAAAATATACGAGACGTTTTACTAATGAAAAAAAACGCAAAGTCAGCGACTACGTCCGCGCAGAACAGTTATTTTGAACATCCAAAATTGTTTTTGCAAACTATTACTTACGTCTGCGGACGCGTCTCATTGCTCGTGACCTAAACAACAATAAAAGCATTTTTCAATTTGAACCAGTAGTTCCTGAGTTTAGCGCGTTCAAACAAACAAACTCTTCAGCTTTATATATTAGTAAGTATAGATAAGATTCGCATATTAAATAGAAGAGAAAAAAATAACATACTTAATCTTAACAATATAATGTTGTGTGCTATTAGTTCGTAGATCTGTTTAGATCTAGAATGTTTTTATGTTTATTCTGAGCCGAAGTTGTTGACTACCCCTGGTCAGTACATTCCATATTGATTTCCAATTTTGCCAGACTCGCACAGGAACTTTTACTGACCTTTGTACAAGGTGATATGTTTGGTCATCTTACCTTGTACGTCCATTTCGAGTCATCCGCCATTTTCGTTTCCGTGGGTTCTCACAATGTCAACCACATGTTTGCAATGTCTGCTTCTTGAATTTTGAATTAACTCAACATCTGTTGCATGTTTTAAATAATCCACTACTCTATTGGTACTATTAACTTTTTTTTATAATACATACAAGCTTGGGGTTTACTTGATGTTAGGTGAAATAACACCCCCCCCCCCGCCGCATGCGCTGTTGACCTAGAAGAACTAATTCGATCTCTGTTGATAACCTTAAAATTAGGAATATTCCTATCCCAGAAATCCTCAAAGTAACAGAAATTCTTATTAAGGCACCTCCTTTAATATTCAAAGAAAATCAAGGCTGTTATGGAGTCTGCATACGGTATAGACTACTAACTGGTCGATTAGCTCCTGTATACAATACGTCTACCGCTTCTCGTCTCACTTTATACCACCGATAATATGGTAGAAATACTGTTTCGTAACATACAATTAGAAAAATTAGTCAGCATTACTTAGTAGAACTTATCTTTGAAAAATATATAAATAAAATTCGATTCTAATTGAAACAAATGTACAACACGGGCAGGACTTGAATCGTCATCTACAGAGATTCGTCCTGTTGCTTTAAGCATCACGGTAGCTCAATGGGTTAGATCAACATCACGGCGCCGAGCAGTATTTTTTTCATTTTATAGAAGTTATCTTGACCACGAACACTTATAATTAGATACATAATTTGGCGAACTTTAACATCTTCGTGTGTAAAAAGTTTTCGCGAGATAAATGTGTCGTGCGCGCATGTTAGACCGGGTAGGCATAAATTTCGAAGAGCTAAGGTTGGAGGCACCTTGGTTCCACCCACATCTACCTACAAACGGCCGTTAAAGGAAACTTAAATATTTCATTTTACACTTGGTTTTGTAATGTGGTTTTAAAACGAGTGTCAATGCGTGACCTTCAGGTTACATCACCTGAGATAACAATAATATGGGTGTTACATAACTATTAGATATTATTGTTATGTTTATAACTGAGACTCAGTTGTTTGTGCAATGTTTTTCAATCTTTTGGGTTAGCTTTAACCTCTCCGTGGGTCAATAATGTTTAAACTGCATGAGAATTATTGGGTTTGATACTAAGAAATATAACTCTCTCAATAGGAAAACAAGGATACTTTAAATTATCGAATTTGCTAAATTTATTCTACTTACATTACGTAATCATAAGATGCATAAAGAATATTACATGGTATAATGTTAAATACTGTTTGTAGTTAACGCGAGTAGTACACATTTAAATAAAACACCTTAACGGTTTAAAACGCGATATATTAGTTCAACTTATTTAAATGCGCCTTGAAGTTTCAGATGCTTTGCAGCAGCCGTGGTCACGGGGAGACGATAAGTTTAGCTAAGCGTTAAAATGTTTTATTTAAAAATGTATAATGTTCATTTTTTCCTAGATATTTTGTTGAACTTAAGGTAAACCAATAAATTGTCATGATATTTGTCATTCCTACAAACTAATATTGTTAGTAAAACATATGACATTTTTTTTTCAGAAAGTTTTAAGTTAAAATTAAAGTTGGGATAAGAATTAAATTAAATTAGGTTATTATATATTGTTTCAGGTCAAAATGCAACCTTCTTAGCCAATGACGAAGGTAGCGAGCGTCATGTCCACATTTCACAATAATATAAGGAGGTGAGTCAAATATAATATGCGTAATTAAATGTAGACCCAGAGCTGGCTGCAAATTTCGTACTCAAAGTTTTTTAACTCGTCTCTTAGACTAGCAATTTAGAAAAACGTTCAAATTAGAAAAAATATATTATTGTACATTATGAGTGAAAAACACAAATTAAAATTCGTTTGCGATTAAGATTGCGTTAAAAAAACATTTTTAAGAATCAAAACGTAATTTTGTGCTATAAAAGATTTTCACTATCCGCTATAGATATATCGTGTACGTAACTTTGTTTTTTATCCAAACGCGTATTATTTATGCCTGCGTAGTTGTAGAAATTAGGAGCCAGCTCTGCGCAGTATCTAGAATATGTATAAAGTACAAGTATTCGCAACAGTTACTTCCACAGATAAAACCCACTGATGCACCGAGACATATAGCCACCGAGGTACCGATACCTGGGTACCTCTGTACTCAATGTCCAATGAAACTAGTCCTAAGGCAGACGCCCAACACGGCGATGAGATAACCGAATCCGAACCGAAAACAGGTAGTACCGATATCAAGGCGGGTAGTACCGAACCGAAAACCGGTAGTACCGAACCGAAAAGCGGTAGTACCGAACCGAAAACCGGTAGTACCGATATCAAGGCGGGTAATACCGAAACGAAGGAGCCAAAAGACAAACGAACGGTGTCATTTAATAGAGACGTACACGTTAAGCGATTTGGTGAGTTCCTTTTAGTTGTTGAGACTGTGTCTAACTCAGACTAATACGGGCTTTGTCAGACATTCATAAATTTTCAAGAAACAAACGAACTTAAATGATTATTAGGGGTGATTACAGCATGTTGCACCAAACTATTTTAAAGTAGCCGTCACCTAGTTGCATGTATTGACTGTTGAAGCTGTAAAATTTGTTTTCCGTGTAAGTAAGACAGCTGGTAATGTATTCGCGATTACCACAGAAAAAAAAATTAATTACATTATATTTTCTAAAGAATCATTTTTATTTTGAGAATTAATATATTCAAAAAGAGTCTATCAGTGCAATAATTCTTTAAGAGAACGAATATTTCTTACTATCTGGAGATTTTTTTCCTAGGGAAGTTTAAAAAAATATGTACTAGAAAAAATTATCACTCTCATAATTTTAAGTAAAAGTACTATCGCTTATTATTTTATCAGTTCTACATATAACTAGATTGCACTAAATTGTATGAACAGAAAAGCTTTCTTTAAAATTATTTTATCAGCTTTGAATCAACAATTTTAATTTAGGTATATATTTTTAATTCAATAACAAATAAAAATTAATATTTATCGCAATTCACGTTGTCTGACAAGGTCTTTAAGTCTCCACTAATCAAAGGACTAACCAACACTCTTCCTGTATCGTAGTAAAGTACTTACATCCTAATTTACTCAAAACCAAATCTGCCCGTAGAAATAATCTGTGCATGTAAAAGTTGCGTTTAAATAAAACACTTTAACGGTTTAAAACGCGATATTTTAGTTAGACTTATTTTTAACTGGGTCTCCCCGTGGTCACGGCTGCTGCAAAACATCCGAAACGTTGGGCCGAAGTAAAAAAAATCATTTTCAAATAAGTTTAACTAATATATCGCCTTTTAAACCGTTAAAGTGTTTTATTTAAATGTGTACTACTCGCGTAAGCTATAGACAGTATTTAAAATTTGTGTTTCTTTTAATCTCATTTACTCCATCTCTTCTTTAGCAACTACGTATGTGTGTAAAAAAGAATAAGAAATTGTGACTTTAAAAATATGACTGTTATTCTAATACTAAAGTAAAAGTCTTTATTTTCCGTATTATATTTATGACAAGCTACAACAGTGCTATGTACCTAGGGCTTATAACTAACTTAAATGTTATGTTTGACAGGCTAACAATCAACAGGTCGAAGGTTCGACCCTCCCGGGGTCCATCATTTTTTTAAACATTCTTTATAATTATTCTGGAACGTGGAACGAAATATCGAAATACCGTCCGAGTGATACGTCGTCCAGAAATGAAAAACTGTGATGTTTAATCGCGTTTCTGTTCCGGTCTGTGGATTTCCGGATATCCAAAGCCAAAATAAGTCGACATTAGATGTTATATGGCAGAGGTATTTTAACTACAATCAAATTCTCCTCTATTATGAAAAATCTATATTTCTCATCAATTTCAATAAAGTGTCACAAAAAATTAAGAAAGTATTATAAATATTTTGACGATTGTATAAAAATGTAACTCAAACGTGCCTCTTATTAATTGATTCTTATCAAGAGACACATTAAAATACATAATCGGAGGCTACTGTGAGAAAAAAATAAACGGGGTCGAATTAATCACGACCCAATCAATGACTGGGCCAAAAAGTACGCTAAAGAAGGATGTCCTGTTACGTTTATAGTGTTTGGAGAATCTGAGAGTTTATTTTTTACCAAAACATTTTGCAATAGTCGATATGAATACACTTATAGAATGCAATCGATATTGTGCATAGGTAATTTAAATTCCTGTATCCCTTTGTGGGGTTTGGGACATTTCTCTGTACTTTTCACTGATCAATCAATATTTTGACAATCTCGTTGGTGTAATAGTTATTATGTGTAATCTAGATATCATAACAGGACAATGCCGTCTAAATAGACATCTTACACTAATAGGAATAGGAAAGTGAGGAAACAAGCATCCATCTACTCACTGAATGCTCTGCGTACTCGAGACTAAGACAAATGCATATGGTTTCGGACGAAGTAACAGAAGATGTCATCAAAGAATAAAAGATGGAACAAATAGTGAGAGCTGGATAACCCAGAAAACCTCTGCAAGGAGGAAATGGGGAAATGGGTGAAATGGTCAGCTGATGATGTGGACTGATCACTCGGATCAAAATAATAATAGTAACAATCTCGATATTGAATGGATGGAATATACGAATCACCGTCTGTGGATTTCCGAATATCCAAAGCCAAAGAATCAAGCAAGAATATCGACAGCGCATCATGTTTAGATTTTATATGGCTGAAGTATTTCACGTACAATCAAGTACCTATAAAAATCTATTTTTTTAAATATGAGAGTAACATGGTGCTTTCCAATTCGATTCCGAGACATAGGAAAGAGGTATTACAAGTGACCTAAGAAGGCCGTATATCGCTTATGATTGTAATAATATAAAGATGTAATTATTGATTTTTAATATACATATGTGTATCTTTAAATGTATTGCACTATAACATAAAATAAAAGTGAATTTATTGAACTATTAATACGTCATATGGAGAACAAAGGAAGGAGTTTAAATAATCGTAAACACGCGAAGCTGTATGGAGAAAATCTGCAACAAGCAACAGCCGACGTTGTAACTTCAATTGCCGCCTATGTCTCGGATTGAAGGAAGGATATCAGAGGAATTTTTGTACAGAAAGAACGTCAGAGAAGCATAGGGTTCATATGGTAGCTGAAATACCCTGCCATTTCAAGAAGACGCGCTGTTCAACGATTTTGGTATTACATTTTCGGAAATCCGCAGACTGAAATCGAAATGTGATGAAACCTAACGGCTTATATATCTGGGGACGGTGGTTCTTGACCCAGACGGAATTTCGATATTCTGGCCGCCCATTTAATATCCAGATTTCCAGACGGAGTCCGACATGGTCGGGCCCCGTGGGTGTGAAACGACATGTTTAAATAAAACACTTTAACTGTTTAAAACGCGATATATTAGTTAAACTTATTTGGAAATGATTTTTAACTTCGGCCCGACGTTTCAGATGCTTCGCAGCGGCCGTGGTCACGAGGAGTCTAGACTTTAACTAATATATCGCGTTTTAAACCGTTAAAGTGTTTTATTTAAGTGTCTACTCCCGCTTAAACTATAGACAGTATTTAAACAACGACATGATTTTAACCACATTGCTACAATTAGACTAACGAACCCGTCAAACTATTCAAATAAAGCAAATATCCAGTTTATCATTTAAGTATCGAAGAAAATGCACGATCATCTCCAAGTAAATACACAAAGGTTCTCAGCAAGTCAAGGTCATCGCGTGCAATTACGTTGATTCGCTCCACTCGATCTTTGCCAATCCATTGATTTATAACACGACATTTATTTATTCTACAGTTTTTTCTTCGCGGCTAGCTTTATTACCGTGTTTATGTCGCCTCGGCAAACTTTATCATGCGACTGTAAAATGAACTTTTGAATATTACTTTTTAACTGTTTAAAATTCGATATAGAGTTTTAGTAATAACTAAAACTTGTTTACAAATTATTTTTCACAACACATGTTTTATTAATATATTTCGCATTCTAAGCCGTTAAAGTGTTATTTAAATGTGTACTACTCGCGTTAACCACAGACATTATTTGAAAAAACCTTATTAAATTTGTTTGTACTGATAGTACAAACAATTTTAATGAATGTTTATTTAAAGTATTGTTTAAGAGTACAGTCAAAATCATTCTTGTCATTTAGATATGCAAGAAAGAAAGTATTCATATATTTATTACTTAATTTAGTAATTATTGTTTTTATATACCCAAACCAAACCAATAATAAAAAGCTATTTTTGCCGTATGTCCGTCTCAGTATAACAGACACACAAATGTATTTGTGTGTCTGACTATTTCCACGTAGAGAGGAGACTTTTTAATGATGTATACTTATATGACAGCTAAATTAAAGCCATCAACGTGAACAATCCGTGTTAAGACTATCTAGGACAATCCTTCGCAATGTATCCTACTTAAACTAGAAAGAAGTTACTAAATTAGTGAAAATACCTTTCCCGTGAATGTTGTAGCTATTTGAGCCTGCGCCAGATTGCCCAACGAGATTTTTTCACGGTTTATCGACGTTGGTACGTGTTGCAATGCAAAATCTCAACGGTAGCGGGCGTTGAAAGCAAAAAATGTTGCCAGGCGTGTGTCGGCGACGCTGATTAATGTATATACATAATAAGACTTAGAGATTAACATTGAACCCTTCTCTAGAAAAAAATGATTCATACGAAAAAGGCTTAACTTTAAACATATTTAATCTATTTCGAAATATATATTTTTTCTTTTTTGGCGCTTGATATCGCATTATTGCGACCATTCTGCTAATGTCAATGTACACTTTTGACATAAGCGTTTGAGACGGTGGTGTATCTGTGACGATGTTACCGTAATATATAACTGTGGTATAACTAAAAGTATGATTTAAAATTAACCTTTTTTGTCATCCATATGTAAGTATAATATAGATAAATAAAAATAAAACAATGAATGGGCTGTGCTATATTGCTTTTTCATATACGTATCTAAGCCAAATTAAAGTGTAAAAAAACACATAACACCCATCCTATAGCTTTGTATTTTATAAAAATGCCAAATGTTCATAGTACGATATAAGCCGTGCTGTTAATAAAAACATATTTCTTACTTCTATGTTTTAATCTAAGCTTGCATTTTTGTTTTTTTTTTTTATTTCCAGATCTAAAAGCAAAACCTTATAATTTTCTGATATCTATTTTGTCGACTATCCTATTAGCTGTAAGATTTCCATAAGTGAATAAATACCTATTATACTTTAACCAAAAGTGTAACAATGAGTATTTTAACAAAAAAGTGACATTTACAATTACAATACATTTTAAGTGATTAAGAGTAGTTGGAAATATCTGCATGTGATATCTGAAGTAATGTTATATTGCTGAATAGCTTGGGAAAGCATAATGTGCTTAGCGAGCTATTCACGCTTCCAATA